TTTTTTGCAAATTTTGCACTATTTTGCAATTTTGATTGCATCGAATAAAAGAATAACATCGATAAATTGTTTGCCACTGACATCCCTTTCTGAGCTACTAACGGTGGACAAAGGGGGGCACCGAATCAAAAATGGAAAGATAAATAAATGCATCCGTCACCAAAAGCCGCTCCGAAATTTTCTCACGATGATTCATGAGCAAGGATTTCCTTGCAGAATTTTAGCTAATTCACTAGCGCTCTTTGTTCATCAAAAACACTACTCCAAATTGAAGGAACGTCGCAATAAGCCAGTGTCACTCTCTGGCACGTTTATTTTCTTTTTGTACGAAAAGATCTGCAAAAATATGTATGTATATGGGTACATACATTATTCACCGTCACATATGATTGTATGTAAATATGTAAAGCATTCATTTTAGCAAAATTTATTTGCCCGCGCTCTTTGGAGAATATTTTTCTTTTAACTTTGCTTACATGATACATACACAACTCATAAACCTCCCCTCATGCCGCACTCCAAAATCAACCTATGGCAAAAAACCATCAAAAACAATACACAAACCACAAAACATATTTAGATACCAAGGATGTTGCGAATATTGGTATTCGCAATCGTTATGTGAATGATTCGCATCATTTTACAAATTCGCATTCGACATTTGCATCAAATGATACGAATGATACGGCAGAGTCCACTCTAATATTGTTGAAATGCCTCTAGGTCTGTCTAAACAGGGCGCGAACAATAACAAGCTTTTAGCTTCAAGCGCTAAATGGTCAATTAGTATATCAAGCAACATTGATAGGAATAATTTCAGAATCTGTAAACATTAGAAAATATAAAATTAAAGCCCAACTGAAGGCCTGTTTTAAAGAAAAACGAGCTTATCTCGTGGAAAATCATCTCGATTGGGGGAAAAACTAAACAATACGACAAATAGACAGATCCGGCCCGCAAATATTTGAGCGCACCACCTGCTAGCGTTCCGGCCTTATATACACGAGCCTCTAAGAAATCGCCTCATGGGAGAAAAGGCAGCAAAATTAATTTTTTTTATATAATATGCCCATTTTGAACTACTACTTGACCGACTTTAAACGCCTACTAGATTAAGCCCTCGTTAAATGTTTTTTATCTTTTTTTAAATGTTATTCCGAACATTCGCATTCCGAGCTCGCATTCGCGATTGTGAAAAATATTACATTCGAAACATCCCTAGTATGTACACACATGGTGAATCGTACCCGCTCACTCAGCAGTCGAACAAAATGAACCTCGGCCAATTACGCCAGCAGTAGCAGCAGTCGACCTGGGAATTTTTTTACTTCGATTTTTTCCTTTCTCGTTTTCACTTTGTTTTGCAGTTGGCTTTTTACACCTTAATAATTGGCATTAAATTCACATATAACCAATACTGGGTTGTATAATTTTCAAGGAAATAACTTGAATAATCACCTTTTAGTATTTCAAACAATTATAATATATTTTAATGCGTTTTTTCAACGACAAATTTTTGCTATACGAACAGCAGTTGAGAGATGACAACACGCAACTAAAATGGCGGACGTTTCTCCATTCGGTGTTCATCCGTTTTCATATGTGTTGACTTTGGTGTAGTGCAAGTGTATGTATGCATCTGTTTGCGACCGAGTGAATACTCTGCGAACAAATTACTGAGAGAGATTTGCCCATGCACATACGTATGTACACAGCATGACCATAGTTTTGAGTACAGAAAACGATGATACCATGTGGACATATTCGGAAATCCTGCATATCAGGCATGAAAAAATCCCAAGATGTGGTTGTTGCTGAAACATATTTCAAGAACCATGAATAGCCTGTCAGACGTGGCTATGCAATATATTTCGAAAAGGCTTTCAAATAGAAAAATTTCAGAAAGCAGTTGCGTGAGCAGTCACACCTTGCATGTAAAGAGTATTTCTAAAGAGGTTTTTTATTTCCAAAAGGCGAATTGCAGATTGCTGGTGCAGCACGAGCAAGTGGAAATATATTTCCGAAATCGATTTGCGCTCTCTCAATTGCAGTCACATCCATGATATAAAAATTTGATGGTAAAACCGCTGAGAGGCAGCCTGAACATTTTTGAAGTTTGCTAACATAACAAAAATGTTTTCAAATTTTCTATCTCACAAATGCAATGTCACTTTCTGTCTCAAATAAAAGAAAATCGAATACCCAGTAAACATTTAGAGTCATAAATGAGTCTTTAAGGAGTCGTATTTCGGAGCCATTGCTGTCATGATGAGCTAATTTACGAGTCCGATATTAGGGTGTTTCCCTTCCGCCGAAGGCCGACTTATGTGAGATTAAATTCATACATTAAATGAGCCTCAATATGAGTCATATTGAACTCTTATTTGCCCCATATATGGCTCAATTTGGTTACCGGTTACAAGAGCGCATAGATGCGAAAAATGTTCAAAAATTAGCAGAAACTATTATTACCGGTTACAAAATTTATGTTACCAGCGCAGAATAGACCTGTAAAGGTGAATGAAATGCCAGTTGAGTAAGAACATGGCCCTAATGCCATTACCCTGGTAAAAGCAATTTGGGCTGCGTAAGGGATCAAAAATCATATACATATAACCATTGTATGTCTTAATCAAAATGAAATGAAAGCTTATTGAAAGAAAACTTGAAGACACTTAAATGCCCATTTTATTATGACATAGGATGCTGAAGGAACTTGTATCCTATAGAAAATTATTTTCTAAAAAAAAAAAACAAAAAAAAAAATGTCACTATAAGGCAGTCGAATGTCAGAAAATAAAGCGAGGAAGCTGTTTTATTATTTCACCCGTCTATTGTGACATGCGCTATACCATGGTGTGATTATAAGGTGAAGTAATAAGAGCCAGAAAAAATATTTGACACCATCTTTGAAAATCTGCTTTTAAAAACTTCTATAGGATAGCCGAATGCCAAGAAAATAAGTGAAAAGCTGTTTTAATACTTCATCTGTTTATAATTCCACCATGACATTATATAGTCCCCTATCATGTTTTATATTTATTCTGTTTAATAGGGTATAAGAAATTTTTGTTTTATTGAAATAGGTGTCGCTGCTGTACCTACAAAATTGTATCAAGGTTCCCAACCTATGTAGTTTTGTAGTTTACAGGGATGCATGTGCTGGTATTAAATGTACTCTTATTTATATTCATTATGCTTAAAAACGATTTCATCTTAAATTTGCGCTTAATTTATAATCTTAATAAAAATAACTCCGCAACTTTATTTTAGTACCATCAATATCTACAAAACAAACGAATTGTCTGTTAAACGTACAATTTTTTACCGAACTACCATCATGCCTATATTTACATTGCGCGCATAGCGCATACTCCACTTTTATCGCTTCGATGCAATGTAACAGCTACAGCAATGGCAATTTAGTAGTCTTGGGGTGTTATTCTTCAAGGCAAGTTTTATTATTGGTAAAATGGCGATAGGACTCAAATCGTTAAGAACTACAGCGGAAAACTTGTGTGTTATTATCAAAGTGAAAGAACAGATCTCGAATAATTTAAAAAGTGATTGAATAGTTTTCATTTGTGAGCCGGACTTCATATAAACATGGAAAGTCTCGTTAAAAAAGGTAAAAATTTTATTTGCCAGACCAACGTTAAAGGCCACTCCTGCACTTAATCAAACGACAGAAGACGACTACCTATTTCAGCTTTTTTTTCTATTTCGCTTTGCTGCGTTTGTCGATAGGGGCTAGGGTTGCCGGCTCTGTCAAAGCCTATTTGCCCAAAGTTCTTTGAAAAAAATCCCCAATTTATAATGGTATTCCTCCAAACACTTCGTTAATTATTGAATATACTAAATTATCTGTTTTAATAATAGGGCTTGTGCCAATTGATAGAAAAGTACACTGGATAGTAAATTATTTACAGCTATGAGGTGAATAAAAATTGTTTAACCGGCAAGGCTAGTGAGAAATTTGGCAGAAAGCATTAGCTTTGTTTCTTTTCTAGCCGATAATTATAAGGAAGAACAAGAACGGGAAAATTGAGAAAATTACGCTCACACAGGGCAATATAAAGAAATAGTTAAGAAACCCAAACTTGTAGAAAATATCAAGTAAACAGCTCATCGGTTTATTTGACATTTGAAGATACTTGGCGCAATTTTTTCAATCGCATTTTTTATACCAAAAGTATTCAGAATAAATTTTGCAACAGTTCATCAATATTTAATGATTTCTATTTATATTCATAGCTGTTGTTTTCTGCTACTAAAAATTTTACTTGCAAAAATTAGCAGTAGAGGCGAAAAAGAAAAGCGTAAGAATGAGAGAGCTTCGAGTTTTTGGGTTAATAAACGCTTTCCATCAAAAACTAGTGATAATTTTCTGTAAAGATACAAAGCGCTAATATCAAGAAGAATACAGAATAATGCATGTATATACATAAATACATAATTTAAGGAAAACAAAGCGGGTGGATATTAGTGAAAAATTAGTGGTTATTGCTGAAAGGTCTCATAAATGCATGGATTTCCGTCCCAGAAGAACTGAAATCAGCAAAGGCAAATATTTTCTCTATAATTGCTGCATTTTATTAATTGCTAACTCGATAGCCTTATAGCTGAAATTCAATGCCGGCAAACGGCGAACTCGCCACAGCGAAATTCGCGCTGTCAAAATTAGAACACCAGCACGCATATGAAACTGAAAACAGGCAAAGTGAAATGCGAAGTTCGCTCGGCGGAGTTTCATGGCGATAGATTTATTTCTATCGCTCTGCTGGGCGATGGCAGCTGTACGTACCAAAAGCCGTATTTCTTTTTTGATTTCACAGTTGTAGAAGAAAATAACATAAACACGAATTATTTTTGTTGTTGGTAGTTGTGGATTTGTTAAATCTGGCTTGAAATCAAATAATGTATAATAATTTCTCTTTGTTTTACATTTATATTTGTTATTATTTCCCCATTTCTAAATATGGATTAGTTTTTTTTCTAAATATGGTCACCCAAATTATAAAGGCGACCAAATGGTATCAGCTGTAGCATTGTAATATAATATAAAGTGTACCAGGTAACTGACGTCTTCATATTTGAAAGCAAAATTTGATTTTGTTATTATTTTTTCTTTCATTTCTGGTGTTCGCTTTTTTCAAATCGGGCGTTAACCCTTGGTTTTGTTGCATACCTCTGTCCAATTTCGGCTTAGATCCTCAACCTTCGGGACTAAAGAAAAAATGTTGTTTGTGATTAAGTTTTGCCTTTTTCGCAAATTACAACGACACATCACCGAGTCCAATCTACTGTTTTCGAAAAATCAAAGACGGACGAAGACAGTAAAAGAAGTATTAGTATAATAGTGTGAGTATACTTCTATTATCTTCGCAAAATTTTCCTGAGTAAACCCCAAGTAATGTAAGAAATTACGATATGGGACAACTGACTGATTACTGATGAGCGAATTCACAATCAACTTGAGACGAGTTGAAACTTGCTGAAAATTCGCTTGAATATCAATGGACGGCATGTACTCAAGCGCTGGATGAACTTTGGTCAATCATCTACTCAACTATTCAAGATTCTGATTATTCGAAATGACCATTTCTCAAATAATTTGAGAATTGATTAATATTGATTTTTTCTTTGTGAATGGCGGTTTAACTGCTTTATATTTAAAACCAAAACTTTTACCAAAATGTCAGTATAAGAGCTCTTAAAACCAATTTCATTTTTCAAGAACAATGCCAATAACGTATAATGCATAATAACATGTGATGAGTACCTAATTTTTAACCGACTTCCAAAAAAAGAGGAGGTTATCAGTTGGTCGGAATATATATATTTTTTTATGTATGTTACCGCATAACTTCGGACCACGTCAACTGATTTCAGTAATTTGCATCGGAAAGGTAGTGTCTCGGAAAGGTGTGGTCCCATACTAATCTGGTTTAGATCCGATCATTGGATCATGAAATATATATTTATATTTCATTATTTATATGAGAATTGAAGTCGGTTTTTTTGCTAAAAATTACTTGTTTAATTATTTACCACGGTAATACGAGTTTTTACTAGATTAGTTATTATATTCTAATTTTATAACAATATACAAGAGATTATTCGCAATAAAAAGTTTAGGTCGAAAACGTCTTTAATGCTCTAGTTCCCCGACGAAGTTCAAATTCCACCAAAATAGAGGCATTCTTCACCGTTGGCATCCCTGATTGGGGCTGGCAGGCGGTGTCGCTTTGTCGTATTGTGAGTAGCGTGTGGTAGCGAAGATACTTTTTTTGGTGCAAGTGTTTCAGTGTTTGAGAATTAATAAAGTACGAAACGAAAAATCTTGAGATTAGTGTGATACACAGTGTTGATATTTTGAGTACATTGTATTTTTTTCAGTACATGTAAATGGACATATCTACATTTCAGATTTGGTACAAAACGAAATTCTGAATTGTAATTTGGAAAATATACGTGACGAGCGTTGCGGTTATTGCGATTTTTTGATCATCGCTATTTATTTTGAAAAAAATCTTCGGAAATGCAGTTTACCTACTGACGATCCTGCAGAAAATGACGGAATTGAATAACTCGGG